ATAGAATGGAAGGTAAATGTACGGAACCACAACTATGAGCATTGGAATAAGACTGGCGAGAGAGATAGAAACATCAATGAGAGAGGATCATTGGTTGGCTGCCCTGATTGGGCAATAATAATAAATTATTTATTTATTGGCTTCCCCTATCCTCCTATATAATCATTGGTTGGCTCTCCCACAATAAGTCTGCAAGCGTCATCTCTGCAAACGTCTCTACTGCAAATGCTGTTGGTACATGCTTCTCCAGTTCCTTTCCCAGCTGTGGGATCCAGTCCTGCCAATGTTTGTTCCAGATAGCACACATTAGGACTACACCGAATATATAGCAGCACTTAAAACTTCTAACTTCATACTTTCATTGGCATCCTGCAGGTGTTGATAATTCCTGCAAGGGACCACTGGTTAAGAGAGCTACTACATTCTCTTGGGGACAGTGCTGTTGTGCTTCCTATGATTATTAATACTGTTAAGTGCTAACCTTGGCCAGTTTTTATGTTAGAAAAGTAAAGAGTGAGATTCAGGTTACAGTCAGTAATATTGTATTAACTTTGTACAGTGAGAGATAGTTATTAGACTTCTTGTGGTGATCACATTGTAAGGTATATAAATGTCTAATCACTGTGTTATATACCTGAAACTAATATGATATTGTACCAGTATAATTTTTGAAAAAGAATTTTTTTTGTTAATCCTCATCTGCGGATATATTTCCATTGATTTTTAGAGAGAGTGGAAGGGAGGGGGAGAGACAGAGAGAGAGAGAAACATGACACAGTTGGTTGCCTCCCTGCATACACCCTAGTGGGCCAGGGATGGAGCCTGTAACTGAACCCGGAAGGAACCCTTCAGTCTCAGGGGCAACACTCTATCCACTGAGCCAACCAGATGTTTTCTGTGGTCTTTATACTTCGTCATACTGACTGTGCCGGTAAAATATCCCTGTCACAGTGTGCATTCGGCATGGCGTTGGGCAAGAGAAACTAGTCACAGTGAGGGGCCTGGTACGGATGGTGATTCAGCACAGGTTTATAGAACTAGCTGTGAGTTTTTACTGTGTTTTTTTCTGTGATTCAGAAAATGGTTAATAGGCTATTAAGAGTTTGTACATGAGCCCTGGCCTGGTTGCTCTGGTTGGAGCATCATTCTGTACACTAAAACGTTGTGGATTCAGTTCCTGGTCAAGGCACATACCGAGGTTTGGGTTCTATCCCAGGTTGGGCATGTACTAAAAGAAAAAAGGAGTTTGTATGTGGAAAACCACTTTCTGGTGATATACATATTTCAAATTTTGTATGGTTAGTTTATGTATTTTGTAGCTTATGAGTTGGAAATCTCACTTTCTGATTTATCTCAAATTAATAGTGACACTTAGCCTCACTTACCAGCTTTGATGACATCCGATGTTGAAGAGATGCCTCTAGTCACTGTTTTGGGAACTGGCTGTAGCGGAGGTTGGAGAGATGGCCGTGCACTGATTGTCCTGAGAATTTCTTTCCATTAGCTGCTTCTACCTGCCTACATATCCCAAACCTCTATATATTAAAAATGAACAACATCTTATTACTCTCTGGAGCTTCTATTTTTTTTAATCACATTTATTTTGACATCAGGCTACTTGAAAAACCATTACTTATTGATCCCTTTTGCAACTATTTACCACCTTGTAGCCAGCAGTGTGCTAGGCACAGGGGTGCGCCGGTGAGCTAACAGGCATGGTGCCTCTTCCTGCATCTTCCATTCTGGTGAGACAGAAGCACCATCGCTGTTTCTTCATTGCGCACTTGCTCCCCGCCCTCTTGCTCCTTCTACGCTAAAAACCTAACCCTCTGTTGGTCTTTTCCAGAACTAGTTTTGCTTGAACTCTTAGCAGCAGCGGACAGATCAGCCTTCTTCCTCCACAACCCATGTCCACTTTGGCCTCTGTGACATTGCGTTTCTCCTCAGTTCTCCCTGACTTCAGCCTTGACTCTCCCCTCAGAACATGCTTTTCTGTAACAGCTCCCTCCTGCTCTCCCAGAGGCAGCCAGCAGGGCCCAGTGGTGACTCCTGAACCTCAGCCTCTCCATGAGTGCAGGTGTCAAGTCCTCACTCTCGCCCATTGCTCCCACTTGTGTGCCCCTCTGGCACCTTGATTAAGCAGAACTTAACCACCTCCCTCTTCTCTGACACGTCCAGGCTTCCCACTCTCCCTGACATCTGCTTTGCACTTCTTTGCCTTATCCTGCAACGTAATTTCTGACGTCCTCCCGTTCTGTTGAGTTTTGTCTCCTTCGTGTTCCTGGCCCAGGTCCCCTCTCTTATATTTGGGTCTTCTAGGTCTCTCCCTGACACCTGCAGTGGCTCCCTAGTGGCTCTCCCAGACTCTGGTCTCCCTTCCCTTCCCTTGCCTTACAAATTGCCATCGGATAAATCAGCCCCAAGCACAGCTCTCGCTCTCTCCCTCTCCACTCCTTGCTCAGAAATCCTCAGTGGTTCCTGCCGCACCATGACGAGAGGCCAGCCAGAAAACTGGACGGAGGCTTTCCCTCACCCAGCAC